ACCAGGCAAGATGCCAGCATACACTGGGGACTCAAACATATTTGTTGAATAAACAAATAACTGCTGCTACATAGAGAATTGGTTTGTTTTAAAAACTAGGTTGGCATAAACATGGTAAAGACAGTCATCCTAGTTTTTTGACTTGTGACCTCAAGTTTTGAACACAATTGAGCTTTCTGTTAAACAGGAACCCTTGAAACTCTGTTCCTAGAAAGATGCATCTTTTGCCTCACTAGATGGCACCAAACCATTGTCCTAAGATTGAACTAATGGGGGTGCAGATGGGGGATGTCACAGGATCTGAAAGCTGGAAAGACTATTGGTGATCTCAGGCAGCATGTGAAAACTTTTCAAATTCTCACATGCATGTGGTTTTATTGTGCGTGTCTAGGAATGTGATGTGATTTAATTAAGCACAGGGGATTTTATATAGTCTCTCATAGGAGAACATTAAGCATTTAGGAAAGAGCTTTACTGTACCTCATTCATGCCACTGAGGTACATTGCTGTTGAAGCAGTTTTTTTTTCTAATTTCTGTTTCCTCCAAAACTTTAATTTTCTGGTAGAAATAAGCTGAATGTTGCCCTTGTGATCATTGATGTGTGATTTCATTGGTGCCTTCTTTACTCTTGGGGTATAACTTAGACCTTGCAGGCAGTGAGACTACTTTGTTTTCTGGTGTCTTAAAATTCATGTGATGTATATATTGTGACATTTTCTCCTGACAGTAAATCTGCTGAAAAGGTGAGTGGGAATACATTGATCAGTGTTACAATTTTATTTTCCTTGTCTGCTAATTGGTCATGTGTGTTAAAAAACCTTTGTGAAGAGTGAAATGGCATCGATGAGTTTGTCTTTTTGCTACCATTACTGCATTGCTGTTGCCTTAACCTGTGTCCTTGGCTAGACGCAAGCTTGTAGCAACTGGGCCCTTTAGGAACATTGAACTCCTGATATGATTTTTTTTCTGTATATCTTCTGCTGACAGTCCTAATGTTGATTAGCATCTCTATTCTGTGTCCTGATATTTTGCTATTTGGATACTTACTTATGAGATAAAAATCGACATAGAATTAAAAAGTGTTCTCAGAAATAATTGGGTCTGATCCATACCACTCCCAGGAAGTATACACACTTAAAGTGTTAACAACTCAGAGTGGTGTAACTCAATATAGTGCAATCACTATAACTTAGTTTCACACTCACTCAAAACTGTATGCTTATATTTTCTTCTGCAAGTATGTATTTGTGTGTGTGTGTGTGTATGTGTGTATAATGTGCATATATATCTTCAATGCCTCCTTTCAAACTGGAGTAATTATTTTAATGGAAAATATAAAAGAGCCATTTATTTATTGCTTCAGGGATCACATGATTATATTCTTTACTATATTGGTGCTGTTGGTCTCACCAGAACAGACAATTCTAAACTACAATTTTGACATCGTAATTAAGTCTTGTGGTCCAATTGATAATTATCCTCTCTACCTCACTAAGTGAGCAGGAAAATGAGGGCTGCTAATAATCTATGAATGAGTTTATGTGATATGAGAACTGTTTTTTAATATTTTCTAAGGTACTATCAATTAACTTTAGCAACCCTGTCATTAAGTAAGAAAGTTGAATTCTAATCTTATTGCTGTTTGATATTTGTGTTGGTCACTGGATTTTATGTTTTTGATTAGTTAAAATAAAAATCAGGGTTAAGGCAGTTTACTTGACAATCACATTGTTTCTAACTTTGTGATCCATGGAGGGGAAATTAACAAAAAGAGGTTGATGTAAAAAAAATATGTAATGTGGATCACAGCACTAAGACCAAAGGATGGCATGGAAGATTATCCAGGTTTCAGTAAAAGGAATAGGGTAAATCTGTGTCCATTTATTTTATTTTTTAAAGATTTATTTTTATTTATACAAGAACTGGGGTACAGGCCAGAGGTATGGGGGGTGAGAGGATTCACCAGAGACAGAGTGGGGAGCAGAGCAGGCAGACAGACTGAAGATACTGCTGAGGGTAGCAGCGAGCGAGACAGGAGAGGTCTGCTGCACCATGTGGGTATCTCCCTGGCTGGCCAGAAATTGATCCCGTGCTGCAGAGCCTGCAGATAGCTTCATAGCGCTGTGCTCAACCTGCTGTGCCACCCTGGAAGCCCAGCCTATGTCCATTTATATTAACTCTCTTTGTTCCCAAAAATATTTTTAATATTGGAATTGGTTATATGGGAGAATTATATGTGGACTACGAATAAACAAACTTGGGTTTATGAAAGAGCTGGAGAAGTGTAAAACTACTTAATTCTGCAGACATTATTTCCAGGTAAGTGAACTTGGAGGTGAAAGTTCATTTTTAAAATTGAGCCACCTTTAACAGTTTTCTATGCTAATCTTTAAAAATATAACTGGTACTCTTTAAGGTTTAAGGTATTTACTAGCTAGACCAATTCTATTGCCTGTCCCTGCTTTAATAGAGCCAATTTGTAATTAGCCAGATGCCTGGTCTCAGCATACAAAGCCTACAGCTCAGGTTCATTGTAAGATACTGGAAATGACAGAATGAATTGATTCTCTGAATGTTCCTCTACCACAAAGGGAACTCTTCCAAAGTAAATCAAAGCCTTATACAGGCCAGTCCTATGTACTGTTGTTTGTAGAGAATCTTTAACCAGTCATTTCTTAAACTCATAGAATATGCATTTGGATACTTCTTTGTAACTCCAAAGTAACTTAAATAGGAGGAGGGCACTCAAACAATTCTTGGTTTACAAATTTTTCTTGTCTTATTTGGTGGAAGCATCTCTGGCAAGCTATGTAACTAATACATACAACAAACTAAAGGTGTTTCTTGATTTAAAAAGAATAAAACAGTAAAATTTCTTTTTACTAATATTGAGCTCCTGAATAGTATCAATAAACTGCACAACCTGAGTTATAAAATCAAAGCATATAAGAGATACGGTATTTAAGTACTATATAAAAAAAAAAAAAACAACTCTTCTTCTGCTTATTCTTAATTGATCCTATGTCATCTTGACTAAAATATGTGGCTAATAGAGAGCATTTTTAAAAAACAAATAAAACAAATTGTTCTCTACTACTTGAAATAGTTAATATTATATTACTCTATTGAAAGTTTAGAAATCATCACTATGCTTCTTACTCGGCAAATATTTATTGAGTAATTTTTTTTAGGGACTTTTGTAGGCATTGGGAGATATGAGGTTTAGAGTGATCATCATAAACATTGTTATTGTTCTTTTGGAATAAAAGTTTAGCAAGAGAGAGACATCCAATTACAGGTGCAATGACAATGAAGCACAAAAAGTCCAATCACTGGGGAAACATCAGATTTGGGGAACACCTAGTAGGAACATTCAGAACACAAAGAGAGGGCAGTGAAAGATTCTGGAAAAACTTGGCATTGAAACTGAGGCCTGAAGAATGACTAGGGGGTTCTCACATGTGACAGGTGACAGTGCAGTGATAGAGAAAGAGAAAACAGTGCAAAGAGAGTTTTCAGGAGAAGGAGCAAATGGCATCTCAATATGGCGGCGCTGGGGTAAGAGATTGCAAAGTACGTGTTACAGAGTATGTGAGGAGAGAAGTGGCAGGACCTAAAACAAGTAGGGAGGCCACATGGAGGGGTCCACATTAGCTATGGATACTTGGAATTCATAGGCTACTTTAAGCAGAGCAAAACAAGTTAAGCTTTGTAGTTCAAAACCTCCCTTTAATGATAATGTGGACAATGGGTAGAGAGGACCAAGAATATTTGGAATCTTCTGGAGTCATGATTGTTAGGAGACTATTTACAGGTGAAAAACTGGATCTTGCCTGTGGAAGAATAGGGAGCTGAGGCTATCTATGAGTTTAGCCTTAGGGTTTGCAGTATTGCCTTCTGATTAATTTTGTTGGGTTCTCTTGGAAACCTCTGGAGTAGGGAAGTAAGGCCTCTAATATGGCTACACCCTGCATTACTTTCAAGCTGTGATTACTGGATGCAGCCTTTTTGTATGTAAGTTCATATTTTATCATTTGAATTGTTTGTAAAATACGTTGTCTTTAAAATGTTCTTGTAAGCCATTCAAATTTTAAATGTTTACATTTCTTTCTTAGAAATTCTTTTATTTTTTCAAATTCTTTCCTGCTCTACCCAGTTCATGTCCTATTCCAGAGAATTTTTTCCTTTCCTTGAGAGAACACTTTTGTGTTATTAAGAGAACCACTTTTGTGGTTATTAAGTTGCCCTCTTTGTCATGCCACATCATGTCAACAACTAAAAAACTGTTGCTAAATGGACTTACAGCCCCCAAGCACCTTATTTGATTCTTTACCATTTATTTGTTTTGCATTGTGACAAACAGTGATGGCTTCTGTTTAATAATTAGCACAAGGAGGCTATGCAAGCATTTGAAAACTGATTGCGTTGAAGCACATATTTTAGCAATCAAGATCTAGAGTCTACAACCTGTGTGATATGTTGGCTCCTTACAGAGCAGGCAGTATCTATTTAAGTGCCTCCTTTGCATTTCTTGAATCAATCCAAGCTGCTGCTGGTCACTTTGCATAGTAGAGGAATTGTTTTGGCTTACTTTAATCCTTACTATTTCACATTTCGTTCCAGGGTAATTCTTTTGCCCTAGCCTCTTTCTTCACTACCAAAAAATCTCTACTTGCTTAGCAATTATTGACCATTATCTGTTATCCATCCACAATAAAACTGAATTTCCATGAATAATGTCAACAGAATTGACTGAATTTTCCAACTACTTCTTGCAAGTCACCAATGGTAACAGGATGCTCAGAATATCAGGCCACTTGTTCAAATGACACCGAGTACTCATGCATGCTTAGGTCATTAAGAAACAATTTACACTTAGAGAGTAGGTACTGGGTTTTCTTTGATTAGGTATTTATGACTCTTTGCAAAACTTAAGAATGCAGTTTTTATTGGAACTACTTAAAAATATAACTTAAATAAATGAAATTGTTCTACTCACTTAGCTTTTTCATGCAGTCACGAAGTCTGGTTTCCAAACTGAGCACCCTTTGGTGGAGTTCCTCATAGTCGTAGGCACCTATTTCTTCCTGAATCCCAGTGAGAACAGCAGATAGGTTGCGGATTTCCTCCTTGAACTGGGTGATCAGCTTGGCATCTGTTTTGTACTGTTCCAGCACAGGGATCAAGGGCAGAAGCTCATCCATCTTCTCCTTCAACTCCTGTGAAGAGCAGCCAATCATTGCTGAGAGTTATTTAACCAAGAGGCTATGTTCTTTTTTAATATACTACTTAAAGGAGATTATTAAAACTGACTCCAAATTCCTTGATGATTTTTGTTTTGAAATTAGTTATTTTGCAAGAACGTAAGTAGTCATGATCATTACTTTAAATCCACTTATCTCAGCATTTCAATGTAAGGACCTCTCTTTAAATGGTTTCATGCTTTCCTACAAAACAAATGGATAGTTATCATAATTAGAATGACTTCTTATGGTAGTAATTATGGATTTATGTCATATCTCTCTGGTAGCTTTTTATGAAGTGAACAATACATTATTTAGTGACGAAGTATAAGCAGGATTCATTTTCTAATAATGAATTATTAGATTAGGTTAAATATCCTATGCCTGTGCAGTTCAGTCTAGTTACCCACTTACTGGTTATTCACATTATAGGAGGACTTATAGAAATATTTGGATTCTGGAACAGCTTTCCCCTAATGGAATTTTTCCAATGATGGCTTTCTACCTTTCTGTCCTTCCATTGTACCTAAGACACTCCTTGTTCTTTTTAATATCCATCTTAGCACAGCATCATTAGGAAAGTAAGTTCAGCAAGTATAATAAATCATGCAAAGCTTCTCAAAGCTCAAAGAAATGTATGTTGCTGTTTACCATTTTGAATTATTACTCATAGTCTGACTCCATTTGCCTTAGCATAGATAATTTAGAATTCTTTATGTAAGGCAGAACAGCTTACCCGTGCGGGAAATTAACTCTTCCAGGGACAAAGGTGCTCACTGTTTATGTTCCAAAAGAGTCAGTTAAACAGAATCGTCTGAAACGGAAATGTTCATTTTCATCTAGAGAACAAGAGGTGTATGTTGCAGGTTGTGCCTCACCCCTGCATCGCAGAACGAAGTCACACCTGCAACTTCACTTTCAGTTTCTAGACATGTCACCTTTTCTTCTTTTCCTTTAACGTGGTTAGTGAAAATATTTTATGTTTGATTCAGTTGGAATTTATTGCAGATGATATCACTTTTGGAAAGAGCTGTTGCATGATGATCATTTGAGATCCATAGGTGCTGTCAGAAACCATGCTGTACACTAATTTAAGGAACTAGAAATTGCATTTTAAAATTACATTTAGAAGATGTTATTACTATGGGTGCATTAAAATAGCAGGAACTCCCATTGCTGCCCTGATTTATGGGCTTATGTTTCTTGTGAGGAAATTTCCACTCACTCTGAATTTGTCTATATGTCCATGTTGAGTGGGAGGGTAAAGAGAGTCTGAATAATGAGGAAGATTCATAAATATCACAGTCATAAGATGGAATTGCAGAGCTTTGCTCATTTTGGTGGCTCATTTTGAAATAAACTTATTAGTTTGAGCATCTTGTGGCATCCCTAAAGGAAGACACAATTGCTTCATTAGGATTTTAATGAGAAGAGTTCTGTTGGTACCGTTTGCTGCATATTATAGGAGCCATTATAATGAAGAGTTTTCATTTGACTGAGGGAATACTGAAAAGAGAGCAATGTAATGTCAAAATTTTGGTGGCATTTTCACCCATGGACTTAGAAATAACTAGACATTTGTATTTTTGAACCTTTTTAAAATTTCATAATTAGATTATTAGCAGCCGATTGTGAAACTCTGAGTACTTAGCAGTGGAAAGTCTAACCAAAAAAAATGTGAAACACTTCAAAAGTTAAAGTAGAACAGCGTGGATCTGTGTTTGCTAATGCCTTTTAGAATTTCATGTTTTGCTGTGTTGCTCTTACAGCAAATGGTGTGGCTAGACTGTGTCCCCCATTAATGATCTCTTCACATAACAATAATAGCCCCAAGAATGAGGACTAGAACAAGATTTTCATCTTAAAGAGTAGAAGATAAAACCTATTTAGTGCTTTGAAAAGTTGGAAATGGTGTATCAGAGGAGATTTTCTTCTGATTTGAAAGTATTCTTTGATGTAAAACTCACTTCTGGAGTGTTCCATTTATTCTTCTTAACTGTGGCACCTTAGTGCCTAGAGCAAAGTCGGATTCACGGTCATAGTCACTGAATAACTAATTCAACATATGTTAAGCATCTTATTAGTATTATTTTTAATTCAGAAAGCTAACATCTGGAGGGAAAATGCAACATTGGTATTTGGAAATAAACTTATTAGTTTCTAATAAGCTAGAGCTGGACTTTGTATGGGGGAATATAAAAATAAAATTTATTATTTAAATTAAAAAAAATAAATAAATACATGACCTGGACAAATTGTTCAACCTCTTTGTGTATCAGTTTTCTCATCTGGATGATGGGTATAAAAAATACCTTCTAGGATTATTGTTAGTTTTGTTAATATACAATATATTTAAAGTTCTAGGAACTACACATTGAATATATGTAATTCTTAAGGAGAATAATGTTATAATCATTATTGCTATTTGGATTTTGACATTTAATTTCAGTATCTAGTTAGACTACATGAATTACATTTCTTTTTTTTAATCATTATAGGGTGCTGCCTGAAAATTAGATTTTCTTGTAGAGAGCCTGGGTGCTATTAGGAAAACTTACAGAATAGGCAAATTATACCCTTGAGTTTCCCTCAGATCAGTATCTTTTCTGTTTGTTTCCTGTATTCACCAGGCTATCCCATATGCACATTTTGTCATGTGTTCCTGGCTCTGCCAGCCCTGGCACCCTCAAGCTGCCCATTGGCATCCCAGAGTTCCATATCATCCAACTGAGCTTGAGTGATTTTCACTTTGCACCAGACCCCCTGAGCTCCTTTCCTTCTGTCCCTCTTCCTTTTTGGTCATGCTCCCCAGGCACCTCCTTTGTTGATGGCCCCAGGATCAGACTGTCACAGAATTGCCTGTAGTCCATATCCTTAGCCTGAATGTTGAAAACTGACGTTGAAACCTTTGTGTGTCAGTCACCTCTATGCTTTAGTGTGTGTTTGTTTCTTAACAGGGGAGGATGTGAGTCTAAATGTCTTTCTTAAGTATTGTCTAATATTAGAATTATTCCCCTGATGTTCTCCACACAAAATCGATCAATCTTCCCTTTGTGCTGCTTGGTGCTGTTTATGTCTTTAGTTACTATCAATTTTATCTGTTGTCTTTCATAGAAGAGAGGTGATGTATTATGTATCAGCAGATGACCCAATGCATGTACAACAGTACATTCTCAAAAGTATTACTTAAAATTAATTTGCTTTCTAGTCTTAAATTCTTCTCTATTATCACTCCCCACCCCCAAATTCCCTATTCTTCCGGTTTACTCATTCTGTCATTTGGATAATCCCTAACATTTATCCTATCTTCTATGTCTTGCTCTAATTTGTTCTAATTTTTTAGCCTCCTGAGCTTGTTTGAGTCTTTCTTCACCATATAATTACTGGGTCATCTTTTTAGTCCAATTTCTCATCAATACCCTCAAGTTGTTACTCTCTGTTACTTCTGGTGTCTTTCTTATAGAACTTAAAACTGGTCCATGGAAGACTGTTTTCTATACCTCTTCTCTGCACCAGTGAAGAAAATTACAAAACCATGAAAATTTCTGCCATAGGAACATGCTGTGAGGAGACCTTGCTGCATGTCACTACATCTCTTGCTTCACCATTTATGTGAAGAGCACTTCTCCTGCTTGACCTTACTTTCAGACCCACTCCTACTCCACTTGCAGTGATTCTCACTTCCAGTTGGCAGGGAAAACAGAGGCTATTATGTTTATAAAACCACAGTGCAGTTTATAAACTGCTAAGACTTTGTAACATAGACATTTTTAATAAAGGTTTAAATAGCATTGTCATAGTCAGATTTTCTCTATGACATTGTCATCATTTATAACATCATGTCATCAACATCATTTATATCTTGATAGCATACTTAAAAGCACTTTCTTCATTGTCAGTGTGTCTAGAGAATTGCCAATAAACAACTGAAGGTCTTAAAAAAACTATAAAATTATAAGACCCTCCTTTTACAATGCTATTAGTAATGGTATTATTTGCCTTTTTTAATAATTTAGATTAATATTATTTATTTTTCGCATTAGCAGGGTACACATTTATCAAAAAATTTTATTAACTTGACTTATTCATTTTCCATGATTTTATCCCCTTGTTATAGAAATTCAAACGCTTGTAAATCTATCTATCTGAAACCTCCGCCTAGCTATAGGAGGGTGAGGCTCTTTTTATAGCAAGCATTCCATGCATTCCAAATACCAGCTAATGGTCAATTCCAGTGGAAAGATGATTGACGTCCCCGATGAGTCTTTAACATTGCATGCATGGGCCAAGGCATAGTTATTTCTAGCTGAGTGCCACACTGGCTGTCCATTGCACTCAATGTCTCATTTGGATTGACAAGATTGTAGAAGTCAAACCTACTTGAAAATGCTTGGTCATTAGTGTCTTCCGATCATCTTCAATCTGCCGAAACTTGGCCTTCAGCCCTTTCATTTGGGTTTCCATTTTTAGAACATATTGGAAATCTCTCTGAGTTCTCAAATTTAAGACTTCAATAGACTGGGACATGTTCTGAACCTGTTAAACATGAACATTGACTATACATTATTGTCTATTTACAGGTATATTCATTCACTACTGAAGCAGTAAAAATGACATTAAGAACTAGCAGTGCCAAATCCACAACTGCATTTCTACACATTTTTTTAGTAGTAGGACAATTCTTCATGATAAATATCCACAAAATTCAGCAAGAGAAAATTACACCTAGGCAGAAAATAATAAAAGGGGCATTCTAGCATTAAAACTGACTGACTCTAAATAGGAATCTAATAAATAAGAAAAATGAATTCTTAAAATAGATTTTTCATTCCCAGGTTTTTTAAGCTTACAATGCCCCAATTTGTTAAATGTGAAAACAAATAGTTTCTGTGTACAAATCTGACATATTAAAGAGCTGGGATGCCTAGCAATTATGGATAATAGTGAGTATTCAGCATACTTAGAGATCATTCGTTCTAGTGCATTTTTTTTCAAAATGCATCTCTGAAGTAATCCCAGGGGTGAGAGACCCAATTGGTTAAGACTGGTGGTAATAGTTCTGGGATACCTTCTAACTCAGGGAACATACTGGAGATCTAAAAATGGCAACTGTAGCAAGTGTTTGGCATGTGAGCAATATGGGTATCTTAAGCTGATGGCACTGGCCCAGGTTTGTTTAGTCTCAGGCTACTTAGTAGGAAGCGGGTGACCTCTACAGGCATCTTGAAATGAGGAAAGAAAGGAAGTTTTAATGTTTGTGGCAGCAAAAACCTGAAAACAAAGTGAAAACTAATAATTATAGGAGAACTCATAAATAAGTCAAGGAATGGAATGTGAATAAACAGCTACAGAGAATAAAATGGATGTCTATACCTCTGGTACTTAAAATATTGTCTGCAGAGCAAAAACTTTGGCACCACCTGGGAGCTTGTCAGAAATGCAGAATCTTGGAGCCCATTACAGAGTTACTGAATCAGAGTCTGTATTTTATCAAGATCCCCAGTTGATTCCTATGTTGATTAAATTTTAAGAAGTAATGTTCAACACAGAGGGATTTCCACGAGAAAACAAACAAATGAGAAAAGTAAATGGAATTGTCTTTATATAGTTAGATCTTTTTATTCTAGATCAAATCTCTCTCCCACACACACACATATGCACATAATTACATGTACATAATTACATGTAAAAGAAAATGGAGTATATAAACAAAAAATAAGGGAGAAATGTAGGAAAGGATCAGGAGAATATATTAGGCGGCTAATACTAGTTTTCTGGTGTGGAGTAAAGTGTGGTTGAGAACTAATAAAATAAATATTATAGAATGGGGTGCCTAGTAAGTTAATTTTTTTTTTGTGGGACCCTCACCGGCGACCGGGGAACGAACTGGCGCTGCAGAGGCTGCAGGCAGCCTCACAGCCCAGTGCTCAACCACTGTGCCACCAGGGGAGGCCCGTAAGTTAATGTTTTAATCCATTTGCAGAATCATATTTTATTTGCATAATTGATACATGAAGTTATGGGCACCAAAAAAATAGTTGTAGAATTTCAGGTGAGGTTTACTGTTTTGTATACTTTTATGTGTTACTGCATTTATGTTTGAACAAATATTGCTTATGGAATAAGTAAGGAGTTATTTTCATTACAAAAACTGTGAGTTACAAATAAGAAAGGGTTGATTTATTTAGAGACAAATTTTTGTCATCAGGTAAAGTCATGAAGCTTAGTGAGCCAGCTTGCTGTAAAGAGTCCATTGTTGATATATTCAGAACTGGGACAAGCAGAAAAGGCAGAGAACTCTGTCTTGGCTTCTCTTAGTTCCTCTACTTTTTCTGTCAGAGTAGATCACATTTTCCTGTTTCATTTTTTGCTGTCTTGATCCATAGTCCTGCCCTTTACAAATCCTGTCTTTTCAGGAGATATTGCTTTCTAGCTTATATTAAAACTAATTGTGTAAAGTGTATGATTGGTGGGGGCAGGGAATTGCTTTTATTAGCAAGACCTTATGAGAATAATTGCTTGATAAGTATCTCTTTGGGTAAAATTATCTTAGTCTTCCAAGAGAATAGAATAATAGGTAATTTATATTTTAATATTTTAAAGACAGTTTCCTTCACCTGTCACTAGCTAGGCTATAACACTCCATGACTTCCACATACTTCTTTACTTACTTTCAGACTTTCAAAAAGTTTTATTAGGGAAAAAAAAACTTTTAACAGCACAAAATTATTGAGACAACACCGAAAGCATGGTAACAACATCTTAGATAAATGCAGTGCTTTAAAATAATTTTCAATTTCATTATCGTTATGTATGAATAAAGAAAAGCTAAGTGTGTTAAAGAAACTGTGTGTTTGAATATGGCATTTGTCTATGAAGACAACCATCACTGGCATGGCCAACATACTCTGGTAGGAATTCTATGTAGAAGGGAGAGTGTGTAATTAGAAAATGATAGGCAGGTGAAATATTCTGGATAAAATTAAAACAGCCTCCCTTTAATTTTGTCACTGACTTACTCTATCAAGCTCATTTTCAACCTTATTTGTGATGTGGGAAAAGACATTGGATTCTTGCTGAGACTCGGTTGTGACTTTTCTTTTTAAAGATTTGTTTTATTTATGCATACAAGAGCTGGGGTATAGGACAGAGGTGCATGGGAGAGTGAAAGGATTCACCAGAGATGGAGCGGGGAGCAGAACAGGCAGGTTGTCTGAAATACACTGCTGAGGGGAGCAATGGGCAAGGCAAGAGAGGTCTGCTGTGACATGTGGGTCAGCTCCCTACCTGGGGATTGAACTTATGCTGCAGTGACTGCTGATAGCTTCATAGTGCTGAGATTTAACCCCTTGTGCCACCAGGGAGGGCCCTGGTTGTGGCTTTCTAAAAGCAGAAGCCCACATAATTGTAAGAACTGCATTTGGGGTAATGGCTAGAGATGGGGGAGTCTAATTGGCAAGGATTTGGCTCTGGGCTGCCTTTTGCTTTTCTTGATAGCTGCACTGTGCATTGTTTAGTTTCTCACAGATTATAGAGACCCACTGAGAACCACTGTCCTGATGATACCAGAGACTAAATTCCCAATTACGCTTGTAGGAAGGAGGCCTGTCTGCTGTGGTTCCTCTCATTGTCTCTTTGTCTCTGATGCTTTACAACTCAGCTTGGTTCTTTGTGTAAAGAAAATATCTGAGCCCTTTCTGAGCTTCAACACAAATTAACTTTTTTGTTAATTTGTTATCCACTCTCATGCTTAAATACTGTGGGAGCTACTTGGGGGAAAAAAGCCCACAGCTCAATATGTTTGTATAACCTTAGGGTTAACAAAAGAAACAGAGATTCCTTTGTTGTAGGGCCTCAAAGAACCTTTAGTATTCAATTGTGTGATGGAAATCTTTAAGTGAAATATCACTGCTTTGTTTTTCAAAATTATTTTATTGGTGAGGATGATGTCAGTATTCTATTTCAAAAAAAAAAAAATCACTTTAGAAATAAGTGTGACCTAGATAATGCGGGTCATCTTCAACTGTGTAGGAAGGCTACATAATTAACACACAAACCTTTTTGGAACTGAACAGTCTTAGTTTGGGCACACTAATACATAAAATATTTTAAAACCAATTATAATTTTTCTAATATTCAGTAACATGGATACTTAAAATGTTTGACAAAGGATTACTTAAATGAGCATGAACACCAGCCATGGCATTCTGGACGACATTAACAACATATTGAGAAAATACAGAGCTGACCTGGTATAGCGCCACAATCTAATGGTTGAGAGTGATTGGTGTTTTGTTTTGTTTTTTTAATCTCAAAAGCACTAGTTTCCTTTTAGGTAAACTTTGAGGGACAACTGTCTGTTGTGATGATTGAATGGAATGGAGGTAGATAAAATAAAGGGGAACTGTTATTATTAATATTCTTACTAACAGCAGTGTTTCCTTGTCATATGACTAAATGAATCCTCTGGTTACGGTGAATAAGCTGCTTTAAGGTTTTGTTCTTGTCTGTCATCTGATATCATTCAACTATATGAAACTACAGGGGTGACAGCAGTGGCTAGCTCAGTCAGTGTAAGGGATGTTTGTGTCAAATATCTTTATTTTTCAGGGAGGTTGGGCAGGGTGGTCATTGCAGTCACCAGTGATACTGACTCCTCTTGGGCCACTTATAGGTGTACGCTCAATTTATTCTTCAGACTCTGTTGGCTTAATTACTACCAAAAGATAAATTTGAAAATTGGTAAATCAAATTTGTGGTGACCTTGATTTTGTTAATAAATTTTATTTGTGTCTTTGGTACTTAGGTATTGATAACCTTTTAAAGGTGTGTTTTTTCTAGAATTTCTTTAAAACATTGATCAAATTGCATATTGGATGCATCAATTTGAATTGATGCATATGAATTGCAATGCTTGCTTTCAACCAACCTCCTTGGTTGTACTTTTTGTGCTTAATTCATCCTTCATCAATTCTTGGTTTTATCATAGTTCTAGACTACATTTCACTTTAGGCTTGTAGAGGATATTATCTATTTCTTTACTTTACTTGAATTTTTTTTAAAAGATTTATTTTTGTATATACAATAGCTGGGGTACAGGCCAGAGGTGTGGGAGGATGAGAGGATTCACCAGAGACAAAACGGTGAGCAGAACAAGCAGTCAGACTGAAAGCACTGCTGAGGGGAGCAGCGGGCATGACAGGAGAGGTCTGCTGCACCATGTGGGTATCTCCCTGGCCGGCAAGGAATTGAATCCACGCTGTAGAGGCTGTGGACAGCTTCACAGTGCTGCTGTGCTCAATCCACTGTGCCACTGGGGAGGCCCCACTTTATTTGAATTTTTACAACTGTTTTTAAGAATTTGAGTTTTTGTGTGGATTTGTGTATGCATTGCTCTACTGAAAGATAGTAACACAAATAAGATTATATCTAAGAACATATTTATCAGTATAGTTGATATAGAAGAAATGTATTTCTGAACAGAAAAGAAGATTGGAACAGAAAGCTAGCAATCTGGGGGGAAATATAATTTAATCAAAAAGCAACATTAGATTTAAAAGATTAAGTCTTTTTACCAATGTAATTAATTTCCCTACTCACCAAACATTATTAAGCTATATATTTGGATTTTTTTATAGAAATAAACAAAATCAAGATTAGAAAATGAGCCCTAAGAATAATCATCATAATTCATATGTCATGATTTCTAACAGTTAAGAGGCATATTAGCTAGACTCATTAACTGAAATGTAAATGACATATGTTTCTGTCTGGGGGATGGATTTGGTGGAGCTGGAAAAATGAGATCTTATATCAAGAGAATTAAAAAGAGAGAGTCAATAGATGATGATAGCTCTTTAGAGAAGGGGGGAAACAGACTAGTCTTGGTATGAAAAATGAAAAATCTCCTTAAAATTTGGAGCATTGATTGACTTCCAAATAATGGATGCAAAGGAAACATTTTCATTACATGGCAGTGGAAGAAAGTTATTATGACTAAGCTTGAAATTGTATAAACTAAAGATCCTGTATTAACTAATTCAGTGCTCTCATTTTTCTAGCTGCTCTTTATTTTTCATAAAAAGTTGCTATTCAATGCCATAATTAGGTAGATGATCATGGAAATTATATCTCACAGAATGAATTGTTGAGCATGATGGGCTTTAAAAAAATGCACCTACTTTCTAATTTATCTTATTATCCCTGATGGTATTTAAAATTCAAACATGTTGTCATACTCCCATCAGTCTGGCTGTCCCAGCTGTCCTATTAGATTCAGATCTCAACATACTGAAAGTCTGAATGAGAATAATTGTTTTTTTTTCTCCCCATACTAAACATTTTTTTCTCCCCATACTAAATGTTAATAACATTTTGTAATCTTTTATCTTTAAAAGAGAATAAATCAAGGGCATTCCACATTTGATTCTAACAGATCTCGCTTAAATAAATTATATGAATAGAATGCTACCCAATGAAATGGAAGAGCTTAATGTTCAAAGGAATAACTTACAGAATGATGATAAATACTTGGAATTATTCATTATCTGTCCAGATAGCTTGCATATTTCATGCCTTTATTTTAACTTCTTTCTACGGTTGTTAATGGGACACAAAAGTATGAGTTCAAAGGGTTTAGTGTGAGATCCTGCAAGTTAAGGCTCATTTTCTGACATTGAAATAAGACTTCATGTGTTTTTTTTCTCTTAAGGAGACTGACTTGGATATTAAGATGTAGTATACAGAGTCAGTCTTAAGAAGCAACAGCTGGGAAAAGTAAGTTATGTACACAAAGCAAAGTGGAAACTTGAGATACTTCTTTCAAGAAACAAGTCTATTTGTAGTCCCCATAGCCTGAGGGGAGTTGGGGGGAAGCAAACATTGCATAAAATGAACAATGATGTAAAAAATATATTAAAAGAAAGAAAAGAAAAAAAAGAAATAAGTCTATTGACAAGGCAGACAAAAATGGGAAGGACCCACACTATTACTGCTTTCCCATTTCCTTTTCAAAGAACAGTACATTTCAATAAAAATCAGCACAGGGGACACAGGACACCTACCTTTTCCAGCAATTGGCGGAGCTGCCTGCTTTTGGCATCCCGGGAACACAGGTTTTGTTCTGGAGCCACCACTGTGCAGATGCATCGTCCATCAGGGTCCTGGGCCGAGCTGTATACTTGCCAGCCTTCTTTAGGACTAATCTGAGTCTGAGGAAATTGATGGCAAATGCCCGTTATAGGATAAAGAGAATGTGGATTCATATCCTTTTCAGCAGACATCTGTTTTTGATCATTAACATTCTGTGTTTTATTCTTTAAAGTTCAAAAAGAAAAAAAAATGATTAAATAATTTCTATAGAAAGCACAGCTTCATTAAAATATACCTTCTTTACCAATGCCCCAAAAGAGAATATTTCTCTTTTGTTAGTTTCCATATTATTAACTTTGTTAACCTACCTCCCCAAGTATGTGTTTTATCATATTTGGATATTTCAGTGCAACTTTAAAGTATTTGATAATCAGATGCTTAGTTATTAGAGTTATCTGATAACTACCTACCTAGTTATCTTAGTCACTCGTAGGAACTTACCATGTAATAAGGCTGAAAATGTATCATGTGAGACTCTAGGGTAAAAATAATTAGAACAAGATTGTTTTGCAAAGGATATAGAGTTCTAGAAGAGTTGGAGTATTTTGGCATAGTCTTCTAAATTACCTTCCTAAATTACTGCTGGGTAATTATCATGTTCGCTCCTTGGAACCTTAAAGTAGCCTTCCAGTTCTTCTGCAACCTACTTCCTATTTATGCTTCTAGTTTACCCCCTTGTACCTTCTTGTATGAAACTTTTCTTTAATCAAATTAGTTTATGTCCTGGATTCAGATCTTAGTATGCTGCTCAACTTGCTACTCTTACTTGGAATACCTCCTTTACAAACCTTGAATTTACTTACCCCATGGTTATTACCTGTTCTGAAGGATTGTCTGTACTATTCATAAAACATGTAATATGTGTTATCTGTTGCCTTAACAATTTAGACAAAGTATTGTCTTTTATATGTCTTATGTCAACAACTAGTTTATATCCTACTACTAGATATTTTAGATATTTCCAATTTGCCATATGAACTACATTTTATGAAAGTACCAAATTAAGTATTTTATTTTTAGTCATTTTTCAGGAAGAACTGTTCTTTGAATATGCAATCTTCATTGCACAACCAGAAATAGTGGTGAATACTGTGTGCACTGTCCAGAGAGGACTCACTTGTTCCTCTAGCTACCAAGAGTATTGGTAGCTTGATGCCAGTTGAGTTCCCCTTTGGGGACTGGTGAGGCTGAAGAATACAGATGCTCAGGGTGAGGCCCTATTCCAAGGGACAGCTCATGTCCATTGGCTTGTTGGTGCAAGAGCACAAAGAAGCACCTTAAGAAGTAAGAACTGGGCCTTCCTGGTGGCCTAGGGGTTAAGTCTCAGTGCTGTCACTGCAATGGCCTGAGTTTAAACCCTGGCTGGGGAGCTGACCCACATGGTGCAGCAAACCTCTCCTGTCTTTGCTTGCTGCTCCCCTCAGCAGTGTATTTCAGCAGATCAACCTGTTCTGTTCCCCACTCTGTGTCTGGTGAATCCTCTCATCCCTGCACCTTGTGCCTCCAATCCAGTTCTTCTATGCAAGAAAAGAAAATAAAGTAAAAACTATTATTTCCATTTCACAGAAGAGAAAATTAGTTAATCTGCTGATCATGCCACTTGGATGTAGTAAGAGAGCTATGTAGGCAGGAAGGGGACGTACTCCAGGGCATCACCAGACCATGGAAAGATCATGAGAGCCACATGTGTCATTCCAAATTTGGGGTAGCCAGATTTTAAAATGTAGAAAGAAGTGAAATTAATTTTAATGATATACTTTATTTAATTCAACATAGCCAAAACACAATCATTTCAACATGCAATTAATATAAAAAGTACTCATGAGAGTACTTTTATTTTTTCTTCTATTTTTGTATTAAATATCTGAAATTAATGTACATTTTATACTCTGTCACATCTCACCTTGAACTAGTTACATATCAAGTACTCTATAGCCACAGGTGCCCTCTTTCTTAAACAACTTAGTTCTAGGGTCCTGCTTTGAATTCCAGTGCTACATAGCCATATTATGACACTAAACATACAGATCATTGTTTTTAAAGGTCAATCATATGGATGATGAAAAAAATGACTTAACAGATTTTACATAGGCAAGCTATTTGGTTTGCATCTTAATTTGTTTTTCCTTAGAAATATCAGTTAAATTAATGTGTCCTCTTCTAGCTAACTGCAGGGATCTGAAATTCTTCAGTTTTCTCTCTGTTTATGATTTCTGGAGTTTCAGATTCAGAATACAGAAAAATGTTTCTTGTATGATCAGGAGAAGAGGGAAATGAATTCAGAGTCTAGAAAATAAGGTATTTAATAAATCAGGCTGGAGGGACAAGGGCAAGGAAAGAGGAGAGAAAGGCTTAAGGTTAGGTGCTGAGATGGTTCTGGAAACAAAGAGGTGAATGGAAGCCATCAGTGAGCTCTCTTGCACAATAGCCAGTGTTATTGAGATGTTCTGTTTGCCTACAGACTGGAGTGCTTTGCTAGGTTGGAAGCAAACTCTCGTAAGGATTAAACCAAGCTGACATCTCTCTTTGCAGATTGGGCATAGTCTGTGAGATCTGTCTCTGGAATTCACAGCAGAGCAGATATACTCTTTTATCAAATCTATCCCTGGCCCCAGCTCATCACATACCCTTAGCTAGCATGTAGTTATTTTTTTTTTTCTTTTCAAGAGCTTTAGTGATAAGTACTACAGAGTACTTATAGGCAACCCAACAAAATCATGGGGCAGATATAAGTTAAAAACTCATAAAGATCATTAAGAGTTCATAGTCTTGGTCTTTGATCTATGATGAAAATCAAATGATGCCAAATCTGTCTTTTTAGTTGCTCTTTTTAGATAGGTCATAGAAGATTCCTATGCTGCCTTTTATTTCAGTGGTGTTGAATTGGCTATCATTTCTTTTTTCATTCTCCTCACCCATTCTTTATAGAATTTTTATCTGACTACCTAATTAGGATAGTAAGTTGGACTTAGAATTATGTATTATTAGAATCGATTAAGATCCTAAAAATTATATTTTTAAACTTTTTGTATTGAAAAAATAGAAAGAGGTGATCTATAGAATGGAGATAGAAATAGCTTAGCAGAGTATTTTCAATGATGTAAATAAAAATTAAGCTGAGTTACAGTACAGGTTTAATATATAGCCACATAGGTCCTGTAGTTTCAGCGATATATTTCTTCTATCATTGGACACAAATCTCAATTATGTTAGAAAATTAAGGCTTGTCCCTAGAATAAATATGACTTTTGGAATAGAGAACAGGAGACACCCAATTATAATATGAAAATATAGGTACAGCAATGTAAACACTGATTATTAAACTTGGCAACATTCATATTGCTGTCCACCTGCTAGGTGTTTGACTAACTAGTGAGGACTTTATCATCATAGGGCAAGGTGTCACTTGTTCTCTGGATGAGGAAAGCAGGAAAGGTGAACTGGGTTTGATGTTCATTTACAATTATCCCTGAAGTGTCAGATTAATAAAAGTAAAGACTCCAGTGTTGTTTGTACTTCCAATTATCTTCTTGTAAGAATCATCGAAAAGAGTCATGACCTTCTCTACTACAGAGTTAGTTTGAATGATCTCAACTATAACAAGTTACCTCTTTGGCAAAAAAAAAAAAAAAAAAAAAAAGTAACTCAAAATAGCAAAAATCTAATATAAAAAAAAAGGGTTCCTGATAGTGCTGTGGGTTTTGATAGAGTCCTGTGTGTTAGGATCAGCTTAAAGCAACCTTTATAAACATGCCTAACACTCTCTCTTAAGGTACCTATACTGGCAGAAAAAAAAAAAAAGGATCAGAATAAAACCATCTAAGACGTCAAGTGGAAGGAGATATGGTTTATAGATTTTAATGGTTTTAAGGTACCCATGAGGAAAAGTTGTTCCTATTTTATCTTCTAGGAGATATTATTCATGTATCAATAAAACTCATGTAATAGCAATAGTGACCGTGTGTGGAACTCTGTTACTTGGCAGCTCACGGTGAGTTATTGCCTTTGATGCACCCCATGGACCAGGTGATGATATTTTGCTCATTATAGATGAGGAAACTGTGACTCAGAGAAGTTAGGAACTTGCTCAAGGTCATAAAAGGGGTAATCAGCAGAATTTGTACTGCCGCAGTCTGATTTCAAAGCCTGAAAGTTTAACCACCACACTGCACCACTGATTATCTGACATTTCCTTTTATTTATGAGGCAGATAGCCTATTGGATTTTCTGAACTACTCTCAAGTCCAGAACTTGGATCTGGAAGGTGTATATTATTTATTGCTAGCCAAACATTGCTAATCACAGTGATTATTGGTACAATTCTCTCGGAAACTTTTGTGTTAATTAGAAGAATTGAATGAACTATTTAGCTGTTTTTAATATAAAAGCCATGAAATACTTATGAGCACTATAAATAGGAGAATTAAAATTATAATTTTGACATCTGGATTCCCAGTTTAGATTCTTCGCTTACAATTTAGTTATAAAGCTGCTGTGTAAGAGTTCTCCTAAAACTTCAGGTGCTTTGTACCAGAAAAGAAGAATCCTAAGAATGGAGGGAGGTAAATATAAAAAGAAATAAAGACATCTTGCATTTCATTAGTTTTTTTGGTCTATAAATTCCCTTCCCTTATATTAGTTTTACTTCTCTTGAATCAACTAACCTTACAATAGACATTCTTCTATTTTACTTATGAGGGAACTAAAACTCAAAAGACTTAAGCATTTTTTTTTTTTACAAATCACCTGGCTGGTAAATGTCATATATTGGATTTATTCCGTTTTTTTAACTTTTACCCTGAGCTCTTTATTCTTATCCTCTGAAGATCACATAGGTAGATGGTCTGTGTCTGTTCCATTGGCCATTATTCAAAAATCTCTACTTTAGGGATGTATCAAGGTATTTATCTAAATAGTTGGAAACAAGTAGCAACTGTCACCCCACAGGAATAGGTAGCAGTAAAGGCACAGCAAGACACATGTGGATATTCTGTGTAAGGCACTGAAATAGTTTCTCAGGACCCAGGCAGAGAGGCAGGTAAAAGGACAAAATTCTGAT